TATTATATTTTAATAACTAAATTAAATGAATGTTGAAAAGTATGTTGAATTAAAGTGGGTGGGACACTCATTTTCCTTTCTTATTTAGTTTACATTTTGGTATGATCTCATGGTACGTTTGATATTATTGTTTCTTTGCTTCTAAGCCAAGACTGAACAATTAATGCCGTTTTCCCATGTATGCTAATTAAAGGATATATAGAATGACAGCAAAGCATAGCAATATATCATCATAAAAATGTGTTTTATAGTTCACACTACATTAAATTGAATTTGATAATAAAAATAGATCTTACCATCTAATAACTTATGTTTTACAATCTAATGATTTACAGAGAATAAAGGTATTTTGTAGTATGCATGTAATGTCACTCCCTTAATGTGATTCACCCTATATATATATATATATATATAATTCCATCACTTAACTTTGTTAGTGTTAGGAATTTGTCTTATAGAGTACTTAGTTAAATTATTAAAGGAAACTATTTCCTATCTATACGATTAGAGTTTGAACTTTAATTTTTCCTCTTTTGAGTTTTACCTATTTGATATGTCCTATTAAAAAAACACTTTATTACTATTATAAACTGAATTATATAAACATTATCTTGTCTTGTCTAACAAAAAGAATATATTAGGGCAGTTTTCATATCATTACTTAACCTTCTTATTATAAGTTATAACCACCCTTGCAGATATTGATTTAAGCTACTTTTTTTTTTTTTAAAGGGCAATTACATAGGTGTGAGATTGATTGTTATTATCCAAGTTTAGCTTTGAGTTTACTTTTATAAAATGGTGATGCTAACAAAGAAAAAATGTATTTCCCTTAAAAGGAAAAAAAAATTATTGAAAACGCTGGCCGACCTATGTGTTCAATGACGCCTTTGGAATGGTGAGCAATTAGACTTGGCAAACGGACGAGTTGGATCAGGTTCAGGTTAGGTCAACTTGAGTGATAGGTTATGCGGGTTAGGTTATAAAAGAGTTGTGAGTTAGAAAAGTCCAACCCTAACTCGACTCTAACAGATTACGGGTTAATTTATGGGTTGACTTTATTTTTATTTTTTATAATTATTTTTCATTAATATTATTATATACAAATAAAATTATATATATATCTAAATTTAATTAAAATATTATGATTCATTAACACTAAATACTTTATAGTTTCAATCACAAATATTTAAATTAAGAAAAAAAATAAAAAAGTTATAAACAATAATAAATTGATTAACAATAAAAATATTAAACGTAAAATATTTAAATTTATTGAAAAATAAAGTTTTAATTTTATAATCATCTTGAAACATTATCGAGTTGTTTAATCCATTTTTTTAATGATGAAATTGCTCTTCCAAAAACATTTTTCACTAAGTTATTATGATTATATCCTAACATCACATCTTTTAGTATTTTTAGTTACATTATCATTTTATTCATGATACTTGGATAATTGTTAATACCGAAAAAAAAAAAATGATACTTGGGTAATTAGATCCAACTTATCATAATATCTTTTTCTTTCTCTGGAAATTAAGGAGTATGAATTAATGGAAGGAGTTACTAATTAATAGGAAAATTAATTAAAGATAATAAATATAATATTTAAAAAAATAATAATAAATAAAATAAACGGGTCAACTCATCAACTCGTGGATTGACCCTAACCCAACCCGTGACTCGTACGAATTGATAATACAAATTATCTATGAATTACAAATTGAGATATGTAGATCGTAACTTATTTTTTATGTATTAAATTAAGATCGGATTGACGAACCAAGTAGATTTTTGCCAGGTCTACGAGCAATCTTGGCCCCTTCCCTCTTAACAAGGAAAAGAGAAAGTAATTATAATTGCCTACTTAAATAAAAAAAAAATAAAAAATAAAAAACTGTTGTAACCCATGGAACACGTTTTGGAAGACTGACTGTGGTGGTAGTGACGCCCTGGACTTAGTGAGCGTTTTCTTCGCTGCTTTCATACTTTAAAAGAAAAAAACAAATATTGTAACCCATTGAAAACGTTTCGGAAGACTGACTTTGGTGGGCAATGTTGTCTTTAGACCCTAGCGATAAAGATGTCCCAAAAATAATTCCCTAAATTTTATTAAAATAAGTAAGGTATTCTAACTTCTTTCTCACGTTATTAGAAGCTACTAAACCAATATCAAGGTCACATATCCATCCATAACATAAGAGAATTTATTCTTGTTTCTTGATATTCACTACTGACTAAGCATGAAACTAACTAGTAAAATATATAGAACCTAACAAATTGGTTCTAAAAGCGACAAGTATTCACATTACATATTGTCTTCAAAGAAATATTGAAGAGGGAATTCTGAACCTGATTTTGTAAGTGAATAGAAGGCACTTCTAGGCCATCTTTAAGGAAAGAAATGATTTATGTGATTAGTAATAACTTTATATATATCAACTCTAGTCAGTGACGTTTTCGGCTTAGTAGTAAAAATTGAGTCCTTAAAATTCATAAATTATAGGTTTTAACTTCTGTAAATTTAAGTGTTCCCTTATTATTTGTATTGTATTCTACATCAAAAAATGCTATACAACATTGGTACCATTGACCATAAATATTTTCTACACGAATGTTAACTTTAATTTTTATCATTAATTATATAATAATATTATTATAATTATAATATTATATAAAATTAT